AACAAACACCGTTTAAAATACTCTCGCATTTACCTAGAAACTCATTCGACCTGCAGTTAGTTCTTCTAAGGTGTTTTGAAAAATGAAAAGGTTATAAAACGGCTTTTGTTACGTTTGCTATTTTAGAAAGTCGTATGTAACAAACTGGCATTTGAACTGAAATTATTTTCGGATTGGTCGCCTAGGTTTGGAACGTCGGGTGTAAACCTAAAATTACAAACTTAGTTTTAGTTTAGCTTCATTTGAAAAATGACGAATATCGCGTATGCTCAGTGGGGGGCGCCAAAGGCGCTCAAGGGGCGCCAAAGCTTATTATATAAATGGAGCGCCAAAATTGCACAAAATCACCGAAAGCACACACAAAAGCACCAGTCCGAATTGGAATTTTTCAGATCCGATTGACAAATGAGAGAACGGAGTTTGAATAATGAGATTTTTTTATACATTGGCGTTGACTCGTTGTTTATACTTCACTGCCATTTGCGACCCAGTGTTAAGCTTTACTTGTTTCAATTGTTTGCATTCGAAATTTCAACCTTTTCCCAATTAATCAACCACGTTTTGAGTCACGCTTCCTAAGGCGTGGCAAAACGTTTTATACAATAAAGTTTTGAGTGACAAAGTGACAAAGACCAGGGCCGCCGAGAGGGGGAGGGAGCAAATTGCCCCGAGCCTCCACCTTCTACGTGACGAAGACACCTACGACGCAACACGATGTAGCTACCATCTTTTCTTGAGGGCCTGAGAATCCTGTCGCATCCTATTATCACCTGTGACCTGGTCGATCCATATCCCACACTTTGTAAAGTATACGCGATTGCGGTTGCAATCCCTATCAGTTCGTCCCTGCATGTTGAGCGCTCATCATAGTCAGCACTTAAGAGAGTGAAAACTCGAAATCGGTCAACTATCTATGTTGCAAGGACGATTGGAAGCCTTATTTTTTATGGTTGTTGAGCGGGGAATTTTACAGTCTCTGGACAAAGAGCGCATTATTGACGTGTTTGCAAAGACGTCAATGGAACTATCAAGAGCACTTTTGTAAATTAACATTTTTTACAAATCAAACTTTGTACTTATTCATAGAATTAGCCGAAAACTATGTAAACATAATTTAATCAATAATATCTCTCGCACACATGAACAGTCTCGTTCAGTTGTTCACCAACTTCCCATTTGGTATATATCCAAATATCCAATACTTTTACTCCTCAATGCATTTGCAGTTCATTGATCTAAATATTTCGTCAAAACGTAAGAAATGGCTTTTCAGGGACTATTGATTTCAAAATATTCCAAGAGCATGCCCCAGACCCCCATGCGCATCTCGCATCTATGACGCTCGCCCATATACAAATTACAAGGAGGAAAGGGGGCGCCAAACACGTAGGAAATTTGTCTGAGCATGCGCGCAGAAAATCAATATGGCGACATATATTAGGAGTGTTTCGTGGATTTATCTGGTTTTAAAGCCGATAAAACAACATTTTAATGAACGAAAACTTTGTAGTATTTAGTGGAAAACATTAAGCTGCGTATTCCAAAGATTTTAAATTAAAAATAAGTACTTTAGCTTTATTTTATTGCTTTTTATGCTTTGAAAACAGACAAGCTCATATTTTTTGAAAAAATCTTATCTAATATTTTACGTACCCATTATTTGTTTAATCTGAACAAAAATAAATAGAACACTTGGCTATATAAGTTATGAAGGTATTGTTAGCTGATCTGCCGATTTCAGTATTCCGTACACATTTTAACAAAGAGTAAAATTAAAATATATGCATATCAAAAACAATGGTTTTTTATTAAAACAACACAGAATAAGTTGTTATTTTCTATTTCTACAAAAAACAAGTTTGAAAACAGGATCTAGTCCTCCAGCTTGATATCATATTCCATTTATTTGGATATTTGAATAAAGGAATGTGAAATAATAATTGAAACTTGTCCAAAATTTGATACCAACACTCGAGTGAACAGATACTATCACCTACTAAAATAAAAGAAAACAGAACTTAAATTTATCATATAATGCTATCAAAAAATCTTAGATACTACAAGCATATAGTGAACACAACTCTTTAACAAACTCACTATAAAATAAGTTAAGTTATGCTACGATAAGAGGATGGCAATATCAGGGCCCGCGGAGCGTATTAGAGAGTGGGGGGGGGGGGGCTAAATCATCAATAAAACCCCCAATTAATTAATTTAGAAAGTTTCATTTACTATTTTAATAATTTTGGCTGTCAAAAAAAGTGGGGGGGCTAAAGCCCCCCCAGCCCCCCCGTCTCCGCGGTCCCTGAATATATGACAACATCAAATGTTACCATCTTCAGTGTCCAAAAAAAGTGCCGCGCGCATTTTTCGTGGTCGCATAACTGGCATTGCCGCAAACCCAGGTGAAAAAGAAATTGGAAAAACCTGGTTTGGGGTGATGAGCATAGTCAAATTCTTGACTTATTCAATTTTCTAAGTTTTTCCAGGTAAACAGATTCAACATTGAAATAAGTACATTCGGGACTGCATAGGGTCCAAAATATTGTGTATGGACCAGATTTTTTTCAATTTTCTGTGATTTACATAACACTAGTTAGGGGCAGTCGACAAATAGATTTCGTCCCGCATCGCGGACTTGGGCCGCGATTGTTTGAACCCCTTCCCTCCCCCCCCCCTACCTCATCGCGAACAAGTAAAAAACCCAAGGAGAATCGAAATTATGGTCCAAAATATTATCCGAAATATGACTGTGAGCGGTCTACTATACTATAGGCAAGAATACAGTATGTAATGCTGACTTTTAACATTACAATCAGCTTGTTAAAATAAAAACTAGTTTCCGTATTGTTTAGCAGTTGTATAAGCAACATAAAATTTAAATAAATACCCGATTTGTTGTCCACAAATGCAATATTTATATCCCCGATTGAACGAAAGAAAGGTTGTGTCGAACTGCGAACTGGCAGAAAAGTCAACACAAAATATTCGGCCGCGATCAGTTATTCCAGTGGCAACACATATCAAATCGGAATTAACCGTAATGGGTTCGGGGCCTCGGGCATAGGTTATGTACTTCGAAATGTAAATATCAAACAAAGTATTGTTGTTGAGCTGTGTCCGCTTTTTGCCTCCGAACTTTTTGTGAGTATATTATTTAAAATGTACTACATTTTCTCCTGATCTTCGTATTATATTTCTAAACTCAGTTTTCGTCCCAAATATTTTGTAATCGCGGATTCTAATCTACTCCCTCCCATCGCGGCCCAAGTCCGCGAAGCGGGACGAAATCTATTTGTCGACGGTCCCTTATAATTTAAGGGTCAATCAGTATTGTTCAAGACATATTTTCTTCCAGAACACCTTTTCAAAATACTAACCCAAGCATGTCAAAAATAGTGTACATTTACAAGGGTAACTTCAACCCTTTGGCACATTTTTTCCATGAATGATTTTAATTCTAATATAAAGACTATAGATAAAAATTTGATGTAAAGCTAGTTTCAAGTGATGAGCATACCCTAAATTTTAAGCTATACTTCAAAGAAGATGGGTCATTTCAACATAAACATTGAAATGTGGGTATACTGACAGCTCTGTCACACGCATAGTTTGACATTAGCAGACCTTCTGAAACATTTTAATGAAAGTTCACATTTTCACTTACTTCTTAACATCTGTTTTAATCCAGCTAGCTCTGTAGGCACGAGCAAATTTTAGTGTTTATGTAATTAATATCCATTTTGTTAATGTTCACCCGGTGAAAATATAGTCTATTCTAAAGCTGATTTCGACGTACGTTGCTCTTCGACGCGAAAATTGAAACTCAAGAAGAAATGAGCCGCTATTTTTGGTCAGCGTCAACAAATTGCCTACCTGTTGGGGCTATTTGCTTTCATCAGTAGAATTGTCTATGGTGTAGAACAATGGCGCCACTGAGAAGTAAGAATGGCGCCAATTTTTGGCGCCAAAATCTATAAACTAGTGCTTCCACAGCCCAATTGTCTTAAAATTTCAATAAAATTTCCCGTAAATTTCATGTTTTAATATTTTCCATTTTTCCTGTAATTTATATTTTCGGCCGCTTCGTTTCGGTCGTTTCGTTTCGGTCATTTCGTTTCGGTTGTTTCGTTTCGGTCGTTTCGTTTCGGTCGTTTCGTTGGTTTCGATGGTTTCGGCCATTTCGTTTCGGTCGTTTCGTTTCGCCTTTTAGTACATGCCACTACAACTTGCCAAAATCAGCAGAAAGTTGGCTATACCTTTGGCGGTAAAATTCTTGTACGTTGAGACTAAACCTCTTTGTTCTGCGCCCTTGCCCCCGGCACCATGGCCCCCACTCTCTCCCTCGGCCCCGCCTATGCACACTCCCACTCAGGGGCGAAACTAGCCCCTTTTAATTGGGGGTGTGTCTGCTAGAATTGCCCTGCGAAAGCCGATGATGCCCTGCAGCAAAAAAAATTTTTTGGCCACTATTTCTCCGAAAAATGTTGGCGAGCGGGGGGGAGGGCGAAAAAAATTTTCCGGACATAAACCAATTAAATTAAGGGTCAAAAACATGCATGAAACATGCATCCTGTTAAAACATGCATGAAACCCTTATTTTGTGACCAATATCTGTAAAATTTAGGTCTACAAATTATATTCAATTCCCTCTGGAAGCCCTGGAACCTACTTAATAACTCTACATTCTATCATTTAAAATCTTTCATTGCCCTGTCAATCCAGATGATTTGCCCTGCCAATCCAGATGATTTGTACTTTGGGGGGGGGGGCTTGTCACCCCCCTCCCCCCCCCCACACACCACCCTCAAGTTTCGCCCCTGCTCCCACTCGGGTAAAGCCAGTTTAACTTGTCAAAGAAAAATTAAGTAGTATTCACGGTGGACAACTACACAGGATATCAACCTCGTACAAAGAGCTTCTACGCTTGTGACGTACAAGGTTGACAGGGTGTTAAATCTGTTTGGATTATGTCTCTATCTGGTTTTAATAGGTTGACAATGCCTAAAGAAATCACTTTCAACCACACAAATGTGACATTAACAAGAAATATCTCAGCAATAATATGTGATGAGAGGTAAGTTATCAGAACAGCCGATTCTTGTCGCAGAAGACCCATAATAACCAGCAGCACATATTAGGAGGGTTGGGGGGGGGGGGATTGAAACTTACACCCCTTAATTGGCGTTCGAAAATTATCAAAAGTCGGTCCCAGTTTTCTTTGAAACCCCGCTATATAAGAGTTATTTAAGTTACACGCCAAAAATGTTTGTTTTAGAGAACATGAAAGTTTGTCCCCCAAATCGTCCCACACTCCCGCCATGTCAATATACGCCTTTTGGACTGGGTAGCGATTGTTTTAATCTGTATCTCAACATCTATACAAATTGTCAGATTCGTGCAGGGTGAGAAATTTGCATTTGGTGACTGCTACTTAGATGTTCATTACATTTTTAACCCTTATAACTGGCAGAGATCTCTGAGCCTCTACGCAACCCTTGTCATCAATTAACTTGATTCTTTCTCAACCTAATACGTGGCTAATTTCTTGATTTAGACACATATTTCAAATAGATGCAAATGAATCTATGGAAAATGTAGAAGCTTTTCTCGCTGAAATCACAGAAGACCATCGGTGCCCTGACAGTTTCCATACTTGGGAGCTTATTATGCTCATATCGTTTATGGTGTTGGGTGTATTATTCAATGGCTTTATCTTGATGGCATTTATTCGCTTCCCAAAGTTACGAAATTTTACCAATTATTTTGTGGCAAGTCTGGCGCTGGCTGACATGCTTATGGTCATTCTCAGTCCAGTTCTCTTTATTTTACTGTTCCTTGAAAAAATCGAATTCAAAATAGGCGAAGAAGTTCGTTTTAACTCCAAGTTATTTTGTTCATTGGCATCCATGCTCAGTTTCGCTTGCATTAGTGTCGACAGAATGTTGGCGATTGCAAAACCACTGTATCATCGTACTTTGTCGCTATCACGTTGTACAAAAGTCATCGCCTCTATTTGGCTCTTCTCTATTATAGGGACTGCATTTGACTACATCATAAGTGATGTTGTGGACATTTTTATCATAACCTGTTTGAACTTTTGCGCTGCGTTTCTCATTCCAACAGTAATCACTATCATTTCATACGCTATCATTGCAAAAGTTGTCCTTGGTAGACGAAAAGATGATCTTCAGGCAGCAGATCATGACGGGAACAATTGGAGACACACTCTCAGAATAACATGGAAAATTTTGCTGGTAATTTTACCTGCTATTGTCATGTGGTGTATTTTCTGGCTCCCCGCTTTTATGCAGGCTGCCAATGGCCATGAAGAAGATATATTTTCCCACTCTTTCCTCGAGTTTTTGAATATCATTCCAGTTTTAACAGCGGTTGTAAATCCAGTGATATTTATAGGAATGACATCAGACTTCCGCAATTATCTAATCAAGTCAGTTTGTTGCCGAGATTAAATTGGAACAAAATTACTTCTGGACAAAAGCGAAGGCTATAATTCAAAATCTATTTTTTATAGAGGTTGTGTCTCCTACTGCTCAGCTTCAAGTAATTAGCTCTATAGTATATGTGGAGCAAGAACTTCAGTTATTTGGCCCATGGTTATGATAAAAGTAAAGCCAAGATGGCGGATATTGACGACCAATATCTATCCAAGGTCGTAAACAGTTTTAATACCATTTTTCCAGCTAATTCCAGTTAATTTTTCTAACGGATGGTATCACTAAACAAGTTATCAGGTCATAAAACCATAGTATTATTTATTAAATCGAGGTCAAAATACGAAATTAGGTCGCGAGATCTGCTAAACTTTAGTGCATACTATAATTCACATAATAATACTCAAGACGAACAAACGCTTGTCATAGAAGACGTAGAAGGTCCTGTTTCAGGGTCCTGTTTCAGCATCCTGTTTTAGGATCATGTTTGTTCGAAGACCGCTATATAGAAAGAATTTATGTGCATATTTAACAATTCTACCATAAGGCATAAGCTCAAGTCGTATACCAGCTCAGTCGTATATGAGCTCAGTGATAGCCGACGATGTGTGTAGCACCGAGTAAGCACGGCAAATGTTTTAATTCTTCACTAAGATATTTTTGACACTTTTTTGTTGGATTTTAATTACTTTTTGACAAGACACATGAAACTGAGATATGTATTTAATTCACTTAAATATTCGATAAAATTTATTCTTTTTAATACTCGGCTGTCGCCTCGTGGAATGGAAATTCCATCTTTTACCTCATGAAAAGATTTTTATCATTTCACTCATAAACATTGATTACTTGTATATTATCCCAGTATAAATTATCCCAAAGTACATGGTGAAAACTGAGATATATATCTGTGTCAATATTACAATATACCTTTCATGCAATTAAGCGATGCACATACATATAAATAAAGGTTTCTTTCTGAACAAAGGTCGGTTAATTGTACAAAGCGATAAAGTATATTTCAAACACTCATTAATAATTCATAATTCATAAGCTTATTGTAAATCATATACGTCACGTGAAGAGGTTTAATTTATACCTGGTAATGTCTTCATTAGTATTCTTTAGATAAAGTCCATCCTAAATTAGTATTCTTAAAGAACACTAATGAGACGGCATCTATTGTAGTCGTGTTCGAAGCTATTCAAAACACTTGTAGTCGTGCATGTTTTATGACTTTTATCATATCTGAAATGCTTGTATTGCGCATTCGCATTTTAAATATGGTTAAAATACTCATTAATAATTCATAAACCTTGTGTGTGGCAAATCATGTACTGTTTAATAAACGAGCAGGAGTGTTTTATTAGGTTTAAAGACACGAGCGCGCAGCGCGAGTGGCTTTAGACCTAATAAAACACGACCTGCGAGTTTATTAAACGGCATCAAACACGACTACAAATTCAATAGATATACCGCCTTATTAGTATTCTTTATATAAAGAATACTAGTGAGAACGCGACAACAATAGATACTGCCTTATTAGTATTCTTTATATAAAGAATACTAATTAGGAGTGTTTTATCAGGTTTAAAGTCACTGCACGTGACATATTATGGTTGACATGATTTGCGAATAAGCTTATGAATTATTAATGTGTCGAGTGTTTGAAGTCAGCCATAATGGAGTGATTTTATATCTGATAAAACTCATCTTCATTAGTAATCTTTATATAATTGTTCATCCTAATTAGTATTAATTACATAATTGTTCATCCTAATTAGTATATTCTTTTGCAGTTGTATTTTAAGCTATTCAAAACACTCATTGTCGTTATAAAACAATCCTAGTCGTGTTTTAAATAGTACTAAACATGTAGCGCTATCCAGAATAAAATTTAGCATTTACAAATTAAAGTTTATTTTTATTGTTTGCAAAGTCCATATCCGTACTTTAAGCATTTTTACAATAGCGTTATGCGGATTTCGTACAAGAAACGCTGATTAATAATTAAAGGCCCCAACAACAACGGAACAGGTCTTACTACAAAATCTGATGTGATTTGCAATGCGTTAAACGTAATTTGCATTTTATTTAATTAAGGCAGGTTATTTTTTGTTGTTCCAATTGCTAATCGAGGGAATTGTATAGCTACACGAGCGAAAGCGCCTTCAGATTCTCTCTGTTCATCAGAGCTCTTGAGAATCGAGAAAACCTTTAATAATTGGTTAAACACCTCCTAGGTTTTGCTTCATATGGAGTGCAAGTTTTTTCTAATGCTTTCCATAGCGTCAGTATGCAATGCTTTCGCAGGTAAGTGTTATCTATTATTGTTCATGGCGTACATGAGTGTCGTTCTGTACATCCATTTGCACTTAACTATTGCATAAAAGTAGATGTGATTCCAAAATGATTCCAGCATATGCCGTGCTAAAATTATATATATTAATTATTATGTCTTATACGGCGTTTGCATATATATATATATATATATATATATATATATATATATATATATATATATATATATATATATATATATATATATATATATATATATATATAATTGTTGTCTTTCTACTTAAAATTAATTAAGTCGCAACTCTGAGTTTCACGTTTTCACGATCTTCAGGCGACGATGTATGTATATATATATATACAGCTAATTCAAAAAAGGTTGTCCTTTGCAAACCTTAAACTCTAAACCTTAAACCTTAAACTCTAAGCGCGCAAAGCATAATGGGAGTACTGATTTCAAGCTTTGTAGTTGAATATTGCAGCTGTTTGTGAGTGAATTGTTTCCGCAGGCACATATTTACCATGTCTCTAAGAAATGGGCTCCATATATATGCTTTCTAAACTGCTTAAATAGTGCTCTCATTACGCTTTGCGCGCTTAGAGTTTAAGGTTGAGGTTTTAGAATTTAAGGTTTGCAAAGGAAAACCTTTATTGAAGTAGCTGTATATATATATATATATATATATATATATATATATATATATATGTATATATATATATATATATATATATATATATATATATATATATATATATATATATATATATATATATATATATATAGTATATATATATATTATATATATATATATATATATATATATATATATATATATATATATATATATATATATATATATATATATATATATATATATATAGGCGAATGTCAATAAGTATATTGAGTGTTGAATCATAAGAATAGAGTGCTCGATACAAAAGTAGAGCAAATAAAAGACAAGCTTGAGTTACTTCGTTTAAAACATTTATTCACAACAAATTTGTTTCGTATGGCAAGCTAGGCTTGCCACACTCATCAGGTGAATGGTGATATCGCGTATTTACATGATGTTATAACATATAGGTAACTTGAGTTGTTATATACAAATGTTTGACGTCATTAGGAAAGCGTAAATATATGTTTGTAATCTGACTACTGGCTACAGAGCAGGAATTTTTTCCTGTGCCTACATGCCGATATTAGTTCGTTTCTTGAGTTCAATGAGCTTAGTTCGGGATAGTAAATTATAACGAACTTTTCGTGCAGGCATAATTTACAACGTTTTGTTTTGTTTGAGTAGGCCTTACATTTCTTTAAAATTTTCCAACGAATAGAGTATTCTTTGTTGTACTGTTTCTACTGCCAAATATATTTACTCAGTTCAGTTGAATGTTTATGATCCGGGTTCCTGAACGAGCTTGTATGGTTGTAGTATCTCACTTTAAATGGGCCCGCTGTGTGTCCAACGTAGGTTTCTTTCTGTTGGTTGTCTTTTCTCGTTACTGCATGTGGCTTGGTATACAACGCTTTCGGTTAAACATTTGCCAGGGAGGGGGCAGGATTCTTCCTGACGGCAATTACACTTCCTATCGGGATTTTTAGTAGCCTCGGGCTGCTTGCGATCGAGTACAGTTCTGTTGTGCGCCTTGAATATATATGTGAAGTAAATAAATTTGGCAGTTGAAACAGTCCAACATAGAATACTCTATTCGTTGGAAAATTTTAAAGAAATGTAAGGCCTACTCAAACAAAACAAAACGTTGTAAATTATGCCTGCACGAAAAGTTCGTTATAATTTACTATCCCGAACTAAGCTCATTGAACTCAAGAACCGAACTAATATCGGCATGTAGGCACAGGAAAAAATTCCTGCTCTGTAGCCAGTAGTCAGATTACAAACATATATTTACGCTTTCCTAATGACGTCAAACATTTGTATATAACAACTCAAGTTACCTATATGTTATAACATCATGTAAATACGCGATATCACCATTCACCTGATGAGTGTGGCAAGCCTAGCTTGCCATACAAAACAAATTTGTTGTGAATAAATGTTTTAAACGAAGTAACTCAAGCTTGTATATATATATATATATATATATATATATATATATATATATATATATATATATATATATATATATATATATATATATATATATATATATATATATATATATATATATATTATAGTTTTCATGAAATAAATTGAATAAGACAAAAAGATAACTAATTAGATACGATTCTATACGACGATTCCGATTTGATGATGGCATGGGATTATCTTTTAAATCAATATCA